TAAAATGGTGTTGGTAGGGACAGTGAGGTTTTGTGCAGAACACGATCCCTGGCTATGAAGGCAATGGAAAATACTAGCAACCAATTCCTGTCTCTTTTACATTATATGGAAGCCAGCAGGTGTCATTGTTTCTGGCTGGTTATCAGTTCAGGAATTGAAAGAAATCTAATTTTAATCTTTCATCATGATGCTAAATCCGCTATGATGCTTTGAGCAACTTCTACATTGTTCCTGAAAAAAATCTGCTTTCAGAAAACAGCTGAAAATTGTTTCACCTTGGTCATGGGTTTTTTGTGTTTCACAGATTTTTTTTTTTGTAATAGTATCAGCTTTCTGGTTGTGAGTTTTCAACATCTGCAAAAAGCAAATATAATTTTTATACTAACGGAAAAACCTTCTCAAACCCACAATAACCAGTATTTTTCAAATAATGAAAATTTATTAGTAGAGATTGAAAATCCACTCATCGTTTTACAGCTGTGATGATGGAAAGTAACTGAATGCTGTAGAAAGGAATCAGGATAAATTTGGCTGCAGTGAATTGGGAAGTTAGACTATGTCACAATTTCTTGAAATTATCTTTATCAATTTTGTTTTAATGGATGTTTTCTTTTCTAGACACATCTTCCAGTAATACTTCTTGGCATAAATCTTCCAGTTAACTCTTGTAAATACATTAATTTATGTTCATAAAGCCCTCTAGAGAGAAGTTGCATTATTTCTGCTGTGTACTTGACTTATAAAAAAGATGCAGAAGGTACCCTCCAGTTTATTGGAGATCATGCCAAAAGTAATTTAGAAATAATCACAAAGAATAGCTGCAAAAAACCTAATTTCTAGAGTTTTTGCTGCTATACCAATTTCCTTTTATCCTGATGGTGAATGGTAGACATGTGGGAAAAAGCAAACAAACAAACAAACAAACAAAAAAGCAAGCCTTAAAATGGCACAAATGTGAACTGAAAAGAGAAATGAATTTTATCTACCTCTCAAGGGAGGAAGAAACTGGTCTTGAAATTCATTGCAGAGAAATGAGTGAGTTATTTTGCTGACTGTCAGTGGTAGGTAACAATGTAATGCAATAAGTGAAGGCCAGATTTGAATAGATAGAAAATTAATCTTCAGCCACTATCTCCTCTGGGATTTTTCTGTGCCAGTATTGATTGCATTTCAGCTCCTGACTTGAGAGAGAAATTGGTTAGAGTTGGATTTTAATTATATTCACACGCTGGATCGCTTTCCATCAAAATATGTGTGTTGTTACTTTTCTGAAAACAAAGTTTAACTGGGTTTAAAACTGTACCAGCTGACACCACAATCTGTCAGGCTTTTCATAGAAATGCCAGAAAAAAAATTACTAATAGCATCGAGGTTTTTCTTTTTAATCATTCCTTTTTTCTTTTCTTTTCTTTTTTTTTTTTTTTTTAAGAAGTAAGCTACTTCAAATTAATAAATTTTCAAATGGAAACCAAATGAATTTATTTTCTATAGAAAGATCCACTATAAATTTGGATGTGTAAGGTGTAGTACAGCATTTGTTGGTCTTACTGGTCAGGAGGTAGTGGCCCAAGAGAATTTAACACTAGTTTGCCAATAATGGTTCTGATACTTACCTGTTGTGTACAGAACCAGTTCAGACAACTTTAGATTTACAGAACAAATTATTCTTGTGTGAGGATAACTTTGACATTTTTCAAAGATTTTGTCATTTGTTGTCTTTGTTTTTGGACACGTTGATGTGTTCTTTCAGTATCAGAGCTGTCCATCACAAAATACTCCCATGAAGATCAACAAGAGCAGTGTAAAAGCATCTCTATTACTTTATGTAGTTTTAGATCCACTGCCTTGCATTAATGAAGTTGAGAGTTTTTAGATTAATGTTTTTGGTTGGGTATCATGGAATATCAGATATAACAGATAGGAATAACAGATTCAGTCAGTCTTTTTCAGTGTGTATGTGTGCACTATTAGAAACGTGAGAAGTAGATTTTTTTTACATTTTAAGGCATTCCGGTCTTAATTAATTAAATGTTTTCAGTTTCAACAAAGTTTAATCAGATTTTGGCAGTTGACATGAAGCTTCTTTCATAGCATATGAGTGAATGGAATGACTGAAAGGTTGTATTTATTAATTGGAATTAAATTGAAATATCAAGTAGAAGAAACATGATCATTTTATGTTGCAGTGCTTCAGGATTTTCAAGCAAAAATCTAAATATATTGTGATATGAAAACTTCTATGTAAGACTTGCTAGGATGGAACATTGTGTGATTCTTGGGATTGTTTTTTGTAGGGCCAGAAATTGAACTTTGATGAACTTTGATTAGTCAGTCCCTTCCAGCTCAGGATATTCTTTGATTCTAAGTTCACACACTTTCTCTTTTACCATACCCATTCACTCCCAAATATTTCATGTGGAAATTTAGTTGAAGGAAACCTTTGGCATTCACTCATTCTGATATTTTAGTGTGGTTATGTGGCCTGATGATCTCCAATTCTTTTCTGAAGTTTACTGTGAAAACTTCGAGGGTTTGTAATCATTGATACTAATTTTTAGAAATAAGAGTGTTAGAACTTTTTTAAAAATCAAATTACTTTCTAACAGAAGGGAGATTTTGCCACATGAATGATTGATTGCTGAGATTGCATTTGCATAATTATACAAAGTCATTACTTTGAGCAACGTGAAGCTAAAAGATAACTTGTGAAAAGAACTCCAGAATTTGTGTAATGTTTTGCATTCCAGATTTGGGACATGAAAAGAAACATGTCGAATAGTATAGAAGAAAAAAAAAACGAAAAAAACAAGCAAACAGCACAAAAAAACCCTTCTGAAAAGTTGTATCAAATTACATTGTCTGAAGCTGTCATAATGCTGTGTCAGTTCAAATCATACAGTGCATAAACTGTTGCTGATACTGGCTTTAGTCTGCTCCCTTCAAAGTAAGTTTTAATGGTTGTGAGCCTTGTGTGGCTTCTGGTTGCCCACGAAGTTGTCTATCACATTCTCCTGAATCACCACCCCCCTCCAGCAGTAGAGGGATGAAAAAATAAGACCATAAAAGACTTACGGATTGAGATAAAGACAGTTTATTAAAGAAAAGCAAATTCCAAACACTGAAGCAATGGAAATCGAAAAGATGTATTCTTTACTTCTCACCAGCAAGCAATGTCCAAACACTTTCTGGGATGTAGGATCTTAGGACATACAGCAGTTGCTCCACAAATACTCCACCTTAATGATGAATTTCCCATCTCTCCTCGTTTCTCTGAGCTTGTAATACTGAGCAGAACATCATTAGAAAGGAATATTTCTTTGATCATGTGTCATCTGTGCTGTCTATATCCCCTCCCAAACTCTTGCCCATTCCCAGAATGGGGTTAAGTACTAAGCAACGAATTTAACTTTTCAGCACAAGATGTAGTAGCTATGCTGCGTAAAAATAGTCAAAATGAGTACCCTCCTTCTTTTCTTCCAGAAGTTTAGTAGACTTGTGAGTTTCATCTCACCTAATTCTAGACAGCTGTATTGCTGACTTCTACATCTAGGTGATTTACACTAGAGCTACTTCTACAATCAATCAAAAGTAGGAAGCACTTCTAAAGCATGATTCATGTCATGGGAAAATAGGTGTCTAATTAAGATAAGATGAATTGCACTCTAAACATTCCCATTTCTCTTCATTTGCTGTGAAGGCAGCCTGCAGTGATGAGCACAACACTGCTGGCTTGTGGAAATTGGTGGCTGTCACTGGTTAAATGAGTTCTGCCCTTTGTATTTCCAAAGCAAAACAGTTCTTTAAAACCCACCCAAGACTGCTGCACACATCAGGCAGCATTTGAACATATACTTAGAATGGCATTGTTCTGTAACCTTGAGATGAAGCAGATGAGAAAACATAGGCAGTTTAATCACATGACATTGTGGAGAAGCTAAAATTTATCTGACTATACTTTCATAGAAGATAATAAACAGAATGGCCTCAGCACAGACATGCCCAGCTGACCATCGGGTGCTTCATTGTCAGCACTATTTATCAAGCACAGCACATTTTCAAAAACTCTATAGTGTATATATATATATATATATATATATATATATATATATATATGACTCTATAGTATTAAGAATATCCTTATAATTGCCCTAATAGCTGGCCTGAGTAAGTATTCAGTATCATAGTTGTTCTGTTATTGCTTTAAGTGGCAGTAGACCCATGGCATGGGGCCTCCTGTTCAGCTGCAGCTGAGGCAGGTGAAGACACTCTCACCTCCTCTGTGTTGTAGAACTAGTAGAAATTGACTGAGTGAAGTGGAAGGAATCAAGGAATGTGTACCAGGGTACAGATGGGTGAGAGAGAATGGGAACCCAAGGCAGCCAGGTGGTGGTGAGCCACACCTGAGTGTTTTGGGGACCTTTCCCCTTGGACAGATGTAGCCAGTACATGGGATTTCATTGAGACATGATTAAAATAAATTAATGAACAAAGCATGATTCGATCAGATATTCTAAGTAGGATTAACTGCCTTGCTTTGTCCGGATGTACACAAGTTTCTGAAAAATCTGTTTATGCAATGTATCTGGGTGGTATAATTTTTAGATTTGTGATTTTTTATATAATCTGCAGAAGGAAAAGAAATATTTACGATTTGGTGCAAATCACTACACATAATAAAGGTAATTTGCCTTGTGTTATGGGTGTAAAAATCCAATGCATTATGAAATTTAAGGTGTGTAAAGTATGTAAGCTGTTAGGCTTTCTTTTCTTTGCAAGTCTTCATTTCACTGAATTGCATTGGGTAAATCAAAATTGAAAGCAAACTGTACAAAAATATTCCTTGACCTGGAGAAGCTAATTGTATTTATACACAAATGAAAATTATTAGCAATGAAAGAAAAGCTATGATTTTTTTTATGTATAAAGAAAAAAATGGAAGTGGCATTGTTTTTTAACACACTCTTTAATATTTTGCTGTTTATATATTTTTCTTTAAAAAGCCTGAAAAGAATGAAACTGAATCTGGCAGCCAGAGAATCAGACCAGTATTTGAAGACGATCCTGTTTTCCGACGGCAAACATCTTACCAGCATGCAGCAGTCCACATACCAACAGATATTTATGAAGGATGTAAGTAGCATGTGAACAAAGTGATTTTATATATTAATACTAAGCTCATCATTTGTGGCCCATTCTTAAAATAGTGCTTGTCTCCATGTACAGATTTGCTGTTGTTGTCACTTTTACCTTTTTCAGTGCTACTTCCGAGACGTGCTGTATTAGGGATAATGATTGGATTTATGAATTGGTAGGTGCTGCAGATAAAGAGATCCATTAGGATTGGATCTGAATTTCACAAATGTAACTAGAGGTGAAACAAAACTCTTGCATATTCTGATTTTCTGATCAATTCTTTCTCCGTGCTGTTCACATTTAATACAAACAATTCTTGACAGCTCTTCTTTACACTCTGTTTGGCCTCAGGCAGAGATGAGTTCTGAACACATTTTTAAGTATCTCATAAGCTGGTACAGCTCAGGGAGATAACATGCTGTGTGAGCTGGTAGTACCAATATTGCATCCAGTGCATTTCTAGAATTGCAACAGTAACAGACTGACAGAGAATTTACATAATGTCTTTCTAAACTATGCAAAAAATAATATACATATGTCTATACTGATGAGGATTCTTTAATTGTATTTCAAAATTAAGTATTTATCTTTCAAGATGGAAATAAGTTCCTGTGCTCATAATCAAGCAAAAATCTGTATACAATAAAAAGACATTTTAGCATTCAAAGGGGCTGCATATTTTTTAAAAGGCAGGAAGAAAAACTAAGTAGGATTTGTATTTTTAAGTTTTGACTCTTTTAATGTCTTAATTTCAAGTATTCAGTCTTTTTCCTCTTTTAAAGTCTCAACAAGAGGAAAGAGACCCTAGTGTGACCTGAGCCTTTTAAAATTCATGTCCACAGTTGTGTGCAGCTTCCATAAATGGCACAGGGATGAAAATGGAAATGTCACTATGATGGGGAAAGAATCATAGTAGCTCGTATTCTTATATGGTGAGCTTGACTGACAGACCTAAAGGATTATTCTGAGATTCTGGCTTTAATAAGTGCTAAAGTGCACCTTAATTGCAGGATTACAGAGAAGTGAAAGGCCATTTCCTTTTTTTTCTTTTTTTTTAAGAGAATTGATACTTCAGTGTTAAAATGATGAAAAAACTCGTCTCCAATTACTAGGATCTTTGTAAAGCCGTGTGAACTTCAGTATAAGTCATCATAACAGTACATAAAATGTTTTCTTGTTGTGTTGAATTTAACCTTTTGAAATGGTGTTCCTGAGGACACGTATCCCTTAAAAATGTATACTGTGCAATGTTACTGTACAGCCCATAAACCTATAAAGGAAGACAAGTTATTGTTTCCACAGGAAAGGCACAACTTTAATATGTAATAAAACGAAAATAACAGAAAGAAATGTACATTTCTGGACAGAGGTAATTGCATGTGCAACATACATGTTTCGTGAGTCTTTGGGTCTGGTTTTTATATTAATTACCAGAGAAGTGAAAGCCTAGAAAATTACCAGGAAGTATGTAATTCTGTGTCAGAAAAATCATGTTGTCGTGTGTCTGGGTGATTTTTTGTTACAGATGGAATTTTCAGAGATAACAGCTTGAGAATACCTGAAAGTGACAGATTTCATATCAATAAACACAAATGTTCACCAAGTTCTATTTTATAGTTACAAAGTTCATGTGTCATCTGAAACACAAGTGAGCAATTGTGAAGTAGTCATTCGCAACAGATTTCTAAAAGTAGAATTTAGTGTTGTTCTTTTCACCTTAAGATCTACAAGCAATTTTTATAACTCTAGAAAGAATGATAATGAATCTTGAACATCATTGTCATTTTTCTGCCTGTTCAAGGGAGCTAACCTGTCATTTCTTGGGAGAGCTTTCAGTGTCCACTACAACAGGGAGCAGCTGTACATTTGAAAATAGTATCTGCAATTCCTAAATCCCAATCTGCTTGGAATCATTTGTAACACAGGTATGACAATGAATCCTTCTGAGAAAAGGTGGATGAGTCAGAGTTCACGAGTTTTACGGCTTGGAAGCCAATTTTTTTTACTGAATTATGCCTTGGCAAGCAGATTTCATTTTTTCTGCTTTATTGTATGTGCTTTGCAGAATGCCAAGAGAAACAAAGAATTGCTCTTTGGATCTCACAGAACAGTTTTTAATGACTAGATATTTGACTTGCCTATTCCTCCTTGAGATTGGTTTTCACTTCTCTTGCCTCTAACAGCAGCAGCTTTTTGTCTCAAGGGAAGAGGGACAATTACTTTTAGAGCCACATGTAATCTGGATTTTCACTTGGGCCTGTCAATCATGCTTTTTCATGTTAATTAATTATTTTTTTTGTATGGAACTGGGATTTTGACTCAACCATAGAATCATATAATCCTAAGGGTTGGAAGAGACTTTTAAGATCAATATAGTATCCATTCAGATGATTTTTATTAGTTTCATTTCTATTGTAGTTATTACTTACGATTATTTATGACTTTTAAAATGGAATCAAATAATGAATTTCTGTCCACTTTGATTTTTGAAAGAGGGAAACTCTTTTGTCTAGTAATTCTGTAATGGTGCACAACCTACTTAAAATCTAGTGTGGTCTGCAAAATAATATCTTTTGTCTTCTTACATATACAGTGATTTGCTTTGTTTGAAATACAGTGAAGAGCTTCTTGTGAAGTAGTTCCTTGTATTTCACCATAAAAATATATGATACATCATTACAAATATCCATTTACTACATCCAGGCTATTACGTTGTGAGGCATTTGATTGTAGAAAGAAATATTATGAAAGTTTTTCAGGTCCTTTTATTTTCTTTTTCTTTCCCTGGATCTTGTGCCAAAACCTGTACAGAGACAGAAGAAAGTCTAAGGAGTTAATTTACTTGCCTGCTTCTGGGGACTGAAGAGGGGGTAAAATCCCAGTAAAATAGAACCAAATCATACCTTTAATTCAGTATTTTTCAAGAGGTTTTGAAATAAAATCAATCTGCAGCTGAAAAACGGAACAGACCTTCAAGTCCTCTTTCTACCACATACACTGGGAATTAGTCAAGCATCTCCTATTAGTAATAGCTGAAGTATTATTTCTAAATCCTCATTAAAACTGTGCCCTGCTTATCCCTAAGCAGAATATAGGAACTGCAGGGCAGAAGTAAGAGGAAATCCCTGGCACAAGGAAAGCAAGGTTAATCTTCCCAGTGGATAGCACCCATGCCCTCTCTGTCCCATCTGCTGCAGTGATTCCTCAGGGTGTGTCTGTGCTGTGCTGTGGTTTGAGGTGAGGTGCTAGGCACAGCACACAAGCCAGGCTTGCTTCTTTCTGTGTGGTTATTCCCACTTTACTCCCTTTAAATCAGAAATACTGCTTCCACATGTCACTACTTGATTAGCATGGAAGGGCTGATTGAAGTGTCAGGTTGAAAGTAATGTGTCATGAGCATGACAACGTAGCTTTGAATATATTTGGACAGCAACCAGCAAGAAAAAAGGGCTTCCCTGCTTTGAAGCCATCAAACCAGGCATAAATATTGAGTTACAAGTAATTGATGGTTCATATACCTTAGTAATAATAAAATATAAATACTGTTGCTTCATACTCTCCCTTTCATGGCAGTCCATGAAATTTTTCTGCTGTGTAAAGTCTTTTTTTATTGTATATTATTTGTTATCAAGTTTGGCAATAGGCATAATTTTTGCCTTTCTAGCAGTGCATCATATATGTAAATAATCAACTATTGATAAAATATTTTGAAATTCTAGTACTCCAATATATCACTCAAGGGCAATAAAAACTTTTAGAAATAATTTAAAAAATTTAGATGCTACAGTGATTTTAACCTTGACCAGAATACTATTTCCTCAACGAATTTTTAAAACGTTCTACAGTTTCTGTTTATCTCGTGCATCTCAGTCTAAGAGCTTGAAAAGAAAAAAAAATACCCTTTGGGAACAGCAGTGTAGTGGAAGTTGTTCCAGGATATGGCAGGGATGTTGGTACGAAATGATATTTAAGATCCCTTCCAACTCAGTTCATTCTATGATTCTGTGTATAAAAACCTTAGAAATACTGGAAAATGAAACCATGAGGGTGACAATATTTCCCTTCCAAAAAACCCAAAACAAAATAATTCAAATAAACTAGGAAAAAGTGTGTTATCATTTATTCATTGAAGGTCTTATGTGTGGATAATAAATAAGATTTATAAAAAAATCCAGATATCGTTAAAGTGTTGTGTAGATATTTTGGCATGCTACATCCACATTCCTTCAATATCTAAAGACAATAAAACGTTTGTGTGTTTGGGTTTTTTTCTATTTAGTTTAAATAGCAGTTACAGACAGGCAAGACAATTTTATTACTTATGATTAGTGCTCTTGATACATTTTTTGTGATAGCTGACAAATTGAAGCTATTCAGACCTCTTTTTCTCCTGGTTTATTGAAAGGGATAAATGCATAGTGCAGGCTCACTACATCAGAGATTGAAAAACAGTTGTTTCAAGTCTCTGTTTTGTGTGTGTTCACATGTTTAAATTTGGAAATAAATATTATGTATGTCTTGTGCTGATGGCATGTGAGAGTATTGTAACTTCTGACTTTTTTGTTGTTGTATTCTCCATTATTTTAATCAGTGACTTATTTGTGAAAACATGTAATGAGTGAAGTAGACCTTTAAATGCATTTCAGTGTCAGCCTGTTTTAAATACCAAAGACTATGGCTTGGGGTAACTATAAAGCAAATGTTAGTTGCAGTTAAGTCTCTTAGTGCCTGGTTGGTTCAATATTAAACCTGGAAGGAAAATACCAATGTAGAAGCTTAAGTAAAGAACTCTAGGGTCAGTATTGTTTTTTATGCTCTGACAATTACAGTTGGGGTTTTTTCCCCCAGAAGTAGGTTGCTAAAGCTCCCTGAAATAAATTCTTACTTGAATATTCAGCAAAAAAAAAAGCTTTTCTAACTTGATGAAAAAGCTTGTTTCTGTCACAATCCAGAAGGCCAAACAACTTGAACAGTATTCTCCACTGCAAGGATTTATA